TCAAAGAGCAGTGAGTGAGGGGTTCAAGGTATAAGGCTGAGATAAGAGAGTCATACATATGCAGATTGACCTATCACACCTCACAGTAGGGGTTTCTTAAGGTCTTTTTTCCTCTAGTTAACAGATGAGGCCCCTCTGTTCCCATCAGGTGTGAAAACTGGCTGGGAATCAGTCTTAAAGTTGCATTATAGGTTTTTGAAAGTGGAAATCTGAGGCCTCCTCCTCTGTTAAGAGACGTTTTTTCTCTTTTTACATAAATTGCTTCCTTCACCCTCCTCTCAAACCATCTGTGTTCTCGGTCCAAAATGTGCACATTTTGGTCCTCAAAAGAGTGTCCCTTAACAGCTGAATCTTGTCCTGAAGAGCTGGATCTCCTGTGTTGAGCCATGAGTCTGTGAAGAGGCTGTTTAGTTTCTCCAATGTAGAGGTCTGGACAGTCCTCGCTGCACTGGACCACAAACACTACACCACTCTATGTATGGGTGTTTTGTCCTTAGGGTGGACCAGTCTCTGTCTGAGAGTCCTGCTGGGTTTGAAATGTACTGGGATGTTGTGTTTGTTGAAAATCCTTCTGAATTTCTCTGATACTCGAGCAACATGTGAAATGTCATGTGAAATGTCGGCCACATTATCTACCCCGCGAGTTCATGGTGACTTTCATCACTGTCGTTTACATTCCTCCGGACGCTATTGCTAATGAATCACTGCAGGAGCTTCATCATATCATCAGCTCACTGCAGAGCAAACACCCCGAAGCTCTTTACGTGGTAGCCGGAGACTTTAATCACATGAATCTAAAGGACTGTCTCCCAAGCTTTTATCAACATGTGGCAATTCCAACACGTGGAGACCACATGCTGGACCGTGTTTACACAAATATAAAAGATGCATACAAAGCCGAACCCCGCCCCTACCTAGGACTGTCAGACCACATCTCAATCTTCCTGGCTCCTGCTTACATGCCCCCGCTGAGACGCTCCAGACCGGTACAAAAGAAAGTTAAGTGTTGGATCCAGGACAGTGGCCCCATATTGAGAGATTGTTTTGACCGAACAGACTGACAGGTTTTCAGAGAAGCTGCTGAAAATGGAGGATCGCTTGATCTAGACCAATACACATCCTCAGTCCTGGGTTACATTAGTACATGTACTGAAACTGTCTCCACTATCAGAAATGTTAAAAGCTAACCAAACAGAAAACCTTGGCTGAATGCAGAGGTGCACACCCTGCTGGAAGCCAGGAACACTGCCTTCAGGCCTGGAAACTCAGAAGAGCTGAGTAGGACAAGAAAAGAGCTGGTTGCTGGTATTAAGAGGGCCAAGGCCACATATACAGAGGATCGAGGGTCAATTCATCTCACAAGACCCTCGGAGCATGTGGAGGGGCATTAAGTGCATAACAGATTATAAAGGAAGGAGTGAACAATGTCCCAAAGACCCATCTCTGCCTGATGCCCTCAACAAGTTCTATGCACGCTTTGAAGACCCGAACAGACCACCCAGCACCAGACTCACCTCACCACCGGATGAAGAGCATCTCAGCGTGACCTCAGCAG